ATTCTGCTCTCTAGGAGTTCCTAGAGTGGGGGTTGACTTCCCGGAACCCCACCCTTCCCCAGAGACGGCTCTGACATTTTTTCCAGAGAAAGGGGGGAAAGTGTCCCTTGGAAACTGTGTGCCTGGGCCACGCTTCTTCCTGCTGCTGAGGCCAGTGAGGTGCAGGAGCCCATCTGCTCCCTCTGCGCCCCTGGTGTTTACGCGGCCTGAAGTCCTCCTTGGTGACCGGCTGTAAACAGCATCCTCACTGGTACTCACGGCCACCAGATTTTAGAGGAAGGCATCTGTTCTGGGGAGGCGTCCAGGAGAGGGTCTGCAAGGTGACGCAAGCAACCTCGGTTCTCTCTGGGCTGAGCTTTGACTCCTAGTGGCTGGGTGGTCTGAGAGGCTCCACTTACTGGAATGGAACTGGAGCAAGTGTTTCAGGAGACTGGGGAGTGCTCACCAGTGTGGGCACAGGGGGGACCGGAAAGCTGAAGGGGGCAGGGCTCTTCCCTGTGGGGCTACTGAATATAGTGGGAGAGACGGCCACACAATCGCACCACACACACACACCACACCCCCTCATACACACACCACACACACAACACACACACACCATACACATACACACCATACACACAGCACATCACACACATACCACACACACATATCACATACACACATCACACACATATCGTACACACACCACACCCTTACACATACACACCATACACACGTGTATACACATACACATCACATACACATCACACACATATACACCATACACACACACAAAAGGCAAGAGAACACCCACAATCACAGGGAAGCTAGACCTGAAGTCTCAAGGTCTCCCTGGAGCCACAGACCAGTCACGTCCCAACGACACACTCATCTTCCATCCAGCTGAGGAATCGGTGTCTGAAAGCCGAGTCTGGGTCTGTGCCGGGGAGAGCAGGCCACGGGCAAGGGTCCCCTCCTACACCCTACGCCCCGTGGTGTGGCTGAAGCAGACCAGCCTGTTGCTGGGGCAGGACGGTCAGCTCACATTCTCCACACGTTGCCCGCAGGCTGTGTGCATTTATCTACACGTATTGACTCATGCAGGCGTCACCACGGCTCTAGGAGATAAGGCTGTAGTTATGCTAACCCCCAAATGACAAGCCCAGCAGAGGAGGACCTGCTTCTGATCCTGCCAGCCTAGCTGCCAGGCCGGGGTCCCCAGTTGGTGCCACAAGTCTCTAGCGAAGTGCTTTGGGGTTGTTTGCCTGGTTCGGTCATTCCGCATGCAGTCTCCGTCACAGCTATGCCACCTCCACAGCTGCTTCTTTAATAGACTTACTTTTGAACTGTGACTTCCTATCACCGACTATTTTTTTTTGAGATTTTATTTATTTATTCATGAGAGACATAGAGAGAGTGAGAGGCAAAGACACAGGCAGAGGGAGAAGCAGGCTCCATGCAGGGAGCCCAATGCGGGACTCGATCCTGGGACCCCGGGGTCACGCCCTGAGCCGAAGGCAGATGCTCCACCGCTGAGCCACCCAGGTGCCCCCTAATACCAACCAAGTGGCAACCGAGTATCATCCGTCATAAAAAACCACTGAGGGGGGCACTTGACAGGATAAGCACTGGGTGTCATTCTATATGTTGGCAAATTGAACACCAATAAAAAATAAATTTACAAAAAAAGAAAAAAAAACACCTGTAGAAACGAAATACAATGGGCTGTCTACACTGCCATTCGGGTCTGGCTAGATTCGGGCCCTGGGCCCGCCGTCTTTGTTGAAAGCAGGGTACGAATCCCAGACAGGTGTGGATGACACCCCAGCACCGCTGGGACTGTCCTCGGCCCCGCGGGGAGGAGTGACCGTGTGCTCCCCGGTTACTTACCAGTCTGTCCACACCGCCTGCTGCGGGAAATACCCCCCACCAGCTCCAGCTGTCCGGCCGGCTCAGGGGTTGGGGGCTCCACACAGGGGGAGGCTGGCCCTCGAGAAAGTGACCCTGTGCGTTTTGTGGCGGCCGCAGCCCCGGAGCCCCGCCGACACGGATTCCTGGGAAACCAGAATCGGCTCCCCCTGAGGCCTCAAGAGGCATTTTGCTCTTGGCGGCGTGGACGGCCAGTGTTTATGGGATTCAGCGGAGGGGAATATTTTTAAAGTGAGTCTTCTTGGTTAGGATTCGGAGGCCGACGGAGAACAAGTGGATCAGGATGTTGGGCGTTCCTGCTGAAGCATCAGTTCGAGGCACGAGGGGGAAGCCCAGCTGCAGAGGAGTCACCCCCTCTCCTGGGGACCCCGCTCCAGCCCCGAGGCTCAGGGTCTGCGGGGGACTGACCCAGGGGAATGAGGAGGCTCGTTCAAGGTGACGCCGAGGGTGCCACATCCCGGGCCACCACCTCCCCTCCCCGCCCTGTGCCACTGTGTCCCCCCATGCTCCCTCCCACATTCCAGCCAATCCCTCTCCAACAAGGGATGTTATAATCCCGGGATATATTCCACAGGGTCCCGGGAGCAAAGAGGAGAGACATTCACATGGGGGAATATGGAGGGATTTTTTGACAGAGGATCTATTTGCAGAGTGTGCACAGCATGTGGGGGTGCCCCGGGGGCCTCAGGGCTAGCACAGCTGAGGCTCAAAGTGGAGGTTCCCCTCCCTGCCCCCACTGCTCCCTCCCTGAGAACTGAGCGAGACGAGGCAGTTGTCTCCAGAATCCTGGCCAGGGAGGTGGAAAGGGCCCCTGGCAGGAGCTGTGAACTCGGCCCCCGGAGGCCCCGAGGCAGGGAAATGGGAGCTGGTGCCCCATCTTCACAGTCTCCATCGCCCTGTGCCCTGCTGGTCCTCCGGCTGGCCAAGTCCATGGGAAGCCAGCGTGCAGAGCTCCTGGCGAGGTCCCCCGGGGGGCTGCAGGGAGAGTGGCTCACACACACACACACACACACACACACACACACACACACAGTCCTCCCCAGGGCCCCTCCAAAGCGTAGCCGGAGAAACGCCACCGCTCACACCACTCCCTCCACACCATCAACTTCCCTGGACTTGAAACCTCCGTCTCGAACATCAAGACTCCTAACTCTGGGAAACGAACTAGGGGTGGTGGAAGGGGAGGAGGGCGGGGGGTGGGGGTGAATGGGCGACAGGCACTGAGGGGGGCACTTGACGGGATGAGCACTGGGTGTTATTCTGTGTGTTGGCCAATTGAACACCAATAAAAAATAAATGTATTATAAAAAAAAAAAAAGAAAGAAACCTCTGTCTCAGGATTGCCAGAGAGAGAGAAGCCCTTGGCCTTGTTTGGGAAATGAGAGCAGTGTTTACAGGCCTTGGCCAGCAGTTAGGCTCAGCCGGCCAGATCCGGGAACACCCGCGCAGGTAGGTCCCTAAGGGAGGGCAGTGAGGCAAGGCCCGGGCGCTCTCCAGGGTGACAGAGGCCGCGCCACCTGTGCACCTGGTAAAGGGAGGCCTATGAGCAGGAGAGGTGGCCCCACGGGGCGGAGGAAGCTCCCCCTGCTGTTCCCCCTGAATCTCAATGAGGAGCATGGAGGAATGAAGGATTCAAACCCAGGATCTCTGACCTCCGGCTGAATTTTCTTTCTGGGCCCGGGGAAGGCCTCCCAAAAAGGCAATCGACTAGATCTTTCTTCCATTCCCCAGCCCCCCCCCCTTTCTGAAGGATCAGCTGGGCTTTGCTGCCTGTTGCTCCTCTGGCAAGTCTCAAATCCTGACCTCAGCTCCACTGAGGGGTTCAGCTAAACCTTTTCCAGATGTTAAGTAAATATCTTCTGCTTCACGTCCTGCTTACCGACTCAGTCTCCTCTTTTTCTAATGTGCTTGTAATTTCGAAACTGCCACTGCCTTACCCCCACCCCCACAACTGAATTCAGACAGCTGGCTTCTGGAAGCCCATGTGCCCGCTGTTTGCACAGGCTGCTTTAGCTGAGAAGTGGCTGGAGCCTGGGGCAGGGCGGGTGGCTACACACGTCCACACGCACGTGCACCCAGGCTCCCGGAGATTCACATCCTTCCTGGACAGGAGCAAGAGGTCCCGTGAGATCGGGGAGCAAGCTGGAGGTCTGGACCTGGGCCCTAGGCCCCACCTCCAGGTCTCATCAGCAATGGCACGTGGACAAGTCACCTCATGTCTCTACACCCCACCTGCTCTGCAAGGCAAGCCTACAGCTGGTGCCTGCCTCTCTGGATGGGAAAACAGCAGATCCTTGAACAAAGTGGGGGGGTTAGGGGTGCCGACACCACTCCCTGTCAAAAATCTGCATCTACTTGTCGACTTCCCCAAAACTGAACTGCCTGATGGTCTGCTGTTGACCAGAAGCTTCACCGATAACGTGAACAGCCTTACAACAAAGTGAGCTAGAGAAAAGCAAAGGTTATTAAGAAAAGTGTAAGGAAGAGGAACTAGTATTACAGGGCTGTACCGTATTTATTGGAAAACACCCTCCACCGTGGACCCTCACAGTTGGAAGCTGTGCTGTGCATGGGTGGGCCGTGCACTGAAGTGCAAAGAGGGTTAGAGAGAGGCTCTGCCTGCGGGAGCCCCGCTGGGCAGAAAGGGTTACATCTCTCAGAACCTGAGGGCACCCTGGAGGAGCCGCCCCCACGATGGGCTGGACCTGCTCCCCCCTACCTGCCTTTCTCATTACCCAGTTTCCTCCTGTTTATCCTCGGGTCTCAAAATAAATATCCACTCACCCCCACCACAGCAGGCTGGTGTAGGACTCCGTGTTAGATGCTGTCATGGGACCTTTATTTCCTAGCACTTATGCCAGTTTTCAATTAATTAGTGACTGTTTCGGTAACATCTAGCTTCTCCACTGGACTGTACGCTCCTGGAGGACACGACATGGTGCCATTGTGTCCCTAGCACCTGGTATGCAGTAGCTGCTTAATAAACATTTACTAAGTAAAGGACTCTGTTTCCCTCTCCTGGTGGAGATTATGTGTGTTTTATGGTCCCCAGCCCCCCCCCCCATCTAACTGTCTTTTCTCCGCCCCAGTCAGCCCAGGAGCCTCACTTACATCCCACCCTGAGTCCAAATGTTCTCTGCCTGGAAGAGACCCATGTTCCTGTCTTTTCATGAGGACCCTGTGCCCACTACAGCCTCTCTCAGGTAAGTCAAGAGAGTTCCGGGATTTACAATTTATAGGGGAGGGGAAGATAGCCAGAAATCCTGGAGAACATGACCCTCATCTCCTGGACAACAGTTGAAGCAACAGGAGTTGTTGACTCCACAGACAAAAGCTGATGGGGCTGGAGTTCAAATCCCCGTGGGCCTGGTGGGAGCAGAGGGAGAGGAGTGTTCTGTGGGGTTTGGTGGGATACAGGGACGCAGAAGGAGGACACAGTACCGGTGGTCATGTGCGAGCTATCCCAAATGAACTTGGAAATGAACAGAGTCAACACCCAAGGAACCAGCTAGAGACGTGCCAGGTCACCACCAACACTTGTCTGGCGTCTGGTAGAAGGCCAAGTCACTCTAAAGAGAGATCGTGGGGAGAATGATCCTGAGTGGAAGCAAAGGGGAGAGAAGGTTGGTCCTGAGGGGGTAGTGTTGGCACAAGAAAGGGGAGAGGGCCCAGCCTGGCCTCTCAGCCCTGTGCGGGGTGCAGCCTACTATGCAGAGGACCGGACCACCTTGGGGTACGTAATGCCCAGTTACACACTCCGCAGGCCACCTCGGACCATCCCCTGGCTTCTCAGGACCCCGGGGCCAGGGCCATCCCACTGGCAAGGGACCGTATTGCTGGGAAATCACCAAGCAGCACCTGGTGCCATACTTCAGTCTGGAGAGAGCCACACTCTGAGAGACACAAATCTCCATGCCCAGGGCACTGAGGAAGGGGCTTTTCTGTAGCTGCAGAAATGGAGCCAAAGGCTGGACCAAGGAGGCTGCCCCGGTGGGCCTTACTTCCAGCGCCTGCCAGGTTGCACAGGTCAGAAAGTTAGGGCCCCGTGGGGACGGCTCGCCTCTGTGCCATGGTGTCTGGGGCCTCCGCTGGAATCCTCAAAGGCTAGGGTGCCAGGATCAACCAGAGGCTTACCTGGGACCAGGGGATCCACTTCCAAGGGACCAGTTGGTTCCACGAGCACCCTCATAACATGGAGCCAGCCTCCCCCATAGCCAGCAACCCTAAGTCGGGTCACATTCACTGTTAGCTGGTCACATTCACCTACCTTTTGAAGGGAAGGGTAGCACAGAATTGCTGGACATGCTAAAACCACCACTCCACCAGCAGGATCTTTCTAGAGTGTTTTTCCTATTCCATTGCTCCTTCCTTAAAGCCCTCGAGGACAAAGCCTCAGGTTCTCAGCAGCCAGCGTCCTTTTCCCCTTATGCATCCCATCTCTAACCACTTCATGTCTCCCTGTCCAACATCTAGTCTGCCTTCCAGAACATGCCAGAGGCTTCCCCACTTCTTCAGCTCCGCTCAAGCTGCTCCCTCTGCCCGGTCTGTCCCCTCTCCTCTGTTGTTTGTTTTGTTTTTCAGTTTTCTTATTTGAGTACAGGTGACCCCCCAATGCTACCTTGGTTGCAGTGCACAACACAGTGATCCAACTTCTCTATACATTACGTGGCTCACCACAAGCGCGACCACCATCTGTCACCGCACAACGCTAGCCCTTCTTACTCTCCATTGATATGTCCCTCATCCTTTGAGACCCAGCTCCAGAGCCACCTCTAACCTTCCCCACCCACCCCCCAGTTCTGTGCCCTCAGGCCCTTCCTTCCACACCACGGCACTCACCACACCTGGGAGCTTGGGCAGGGCAGGGGACACATGGTCCTCACCTCTGGGTCCTTACAGCCAGGGCGGAGTTCAGCTCGGAGAAGATGCTCAAGGCACATTTAAAGGATAAATGCACTGATGAATAAGTTGGTCACCGGTGCCCGGTCTGGCTGCTGAAAGCCAGCCAGCTGCTCCTGGAAGTAGAGGAGCTTTACCTAGGAAATCCCAGAGATGAACAGCAGACTCTTTCCCATAAGTTGTGGCTCTCCTCCTCCCCCATGAGCCTTCCCAGGAAGGAATCGCCTCCCTTCCCCAGGAGGAGCCCCTCTACCGCCATCGTCCCTCACCCACCCCACAGGATGTGGAAAATGTCCACTTGGTCCTGCCCTCTGGGCTGTGCTCTCTGCTTTCAATGTGTTTTCAGACCCACTCTTAGATTCGAACCTTGCAACAGCCATGCAAAGCAAGTCGAGAAGACCGTAATACTCTACTCCAAAGGAAACAAAATGGAAGGTCAGAGAAGTCAAGCAATTTGCCCAAGACCACACAGCTAGGATTGGAGCCCATATCTGTCCAAGCCCCATGCCTCTTTGCTGAAGGTAGAGATGAATTAGCCTTAACAGCGACGCTTCTAGAAAATGAACTGCTCCATGACCTCAGTCTCGCCCAAGAGTGAAAGAGGAGCCAGTGGGCTAATGATAAAGTCACTAACGGGAGCAAGCACTGCGAAGAGCGGTGCTGGTTGTAGTTGCTTAATAGGTGCACAAAAATACTTATTCAGGCTTATTGAACCAGGTGCAGAGGTTGGGGCTTTTTGCGCATTGTCATGGTTTCCCACCACAACCCCAAGAAGTAGATTTTGTTATTCCCATTTTACGAGGCAGGTCATCGAGGTTCAGAGAGGCTCATTAATTTACCCAATGTCACACAGCTAATGAATGAGCCAGGATTTTGAACCCAGGAGGACTGCCTGATTCCAAAGCCCCTGCCCTCCCCGTCCATCATGCGACCTCTGATTATCATCAACACTTTGCTGATGCAGGTTCTGGAAGCACAATGCTGCCCTCTGCCAGAAGGAGACAGGGTGTGGGTAGATAGACTGTGGTCTCAGAGCCAGGCTGGAACCTCCCTGTCTGGCATGATATCATTTTTCTCCTCTAATCAATTAGTCACCACGACCAGGCCATGAGAGGCTGAAAGATGATCAGCTCCCTTGGGAGGTGCCCGTGTGATAAGGAAGGAATGTGCCGTGGATCCTCCCATCGTGGGAGCTTCGAGGGTCCAAGACTCAGATTGTTAGTGCTGATGATGGACGCTGGCCAAGGAGACGTCCCAGTGGAGCCACGAGGTGAAGACCACGAGCTCTCCACCTAGCCCAAGGAGACAGGGTACCTCTCAAAGACCCCAGGGAGTCAGGGGTGCCTGGACCCGAGTCTCTGAGCGTGCGGCAGAAAGGGCCTGAGTGTCATCCCGACCTCGCTTCTGGAAGCTGCTTGCAGATCCCCAACTCCTTCCGCGTCAGCTGTTTCTCCTCCCTCTTGTGACCCGAGGTGTAAACAGCCTCTTTTCCACTTTCTTTCAGCACTGAAATGTTCAACAGCACCTCGCAAGACCTCATGCCCACTCTCAATGGGACCCTGCCCAGTCCCTGCGTCTACTCCGAGTGGTGGAACTGGCTTAACACCATCCAGGCCCCTTTCCTCTGGGTCCTGTTCATACTGGCGGCCCTCGAGAACCTCTTCGTCCTCAGCATCTTCTGCCTCCACAAGAGTAGCTGCACGGTGGCTGAGATCTACCTGGGCAACCTGGCCCTGGCAGACCTGATCCTGGCCTCCGGGCTGCCCTTCTGGGCCATCACCATCGCCAACAACTTCGACTGGCTCTTCGGGGAGGTGCTGTGCCGCGTGGTGAACACCATGCTCTACATGAACCTCTACAGCAGCATCTGCTTCCTGATGCTGGTGAGCATCGACCGCTACCTGGCCCTGGTGAAAACCATGTCCATGGGCCGGATGCGCGGGGTACGCTGGGCCAAGCTCTACAGCCTGGTGATCTGGGGGTGCACGCTGCTCCTGAGCTCGCCCATGCTGGCCTTCCGGACCATGAAGGAGTACAGAGACGAGGGCTACAACGTCACCGCCTGCGTCATCATCTACCCATCCCGCACCTGGGAAGTGTTCACCAACGTCCTCCTGAACTTCGTGGGCTTCCTGCTGCCCCTGACCGTCATCACCTTCTGCACGGTGCAGATTATGCAGGTGCTGCGGAACAACGAGATGCAGAAGTTCAAGGAGATCCAGACGGAGAGGAAGGCCACGATTCTGGTCCTGGCCGTGCTGCTGCTCTTCGTCATCTGCTGGCTGCCCTTCCAGATCAGCACCTTCCTGGACACGCTGCTGCGCCTCAACATCCTGTCGGGCTGCCAGCATGAGCACCTGGTGGACGTCTTCACGCAGATCGCCTCCTATGTGGCCTACAGCAACAGCTGCCTCAACCCACTGGTGTACGTGATCGTGGGCAAGCGCTTCCGCAAGAAGTCCCGGGAGGTGTTCCGGGGACTGTGCCAGAAAGGGGGCTGCGTCCTGGAGTCCAACAAGATGGACAACTCCATGGGCACCCTGCGGACCTCCGTCTCGGTGGAGCGCCAGATTCACAAACTGCCCGAGTGGGCGGAGAACAGCCAGTGAGGGGCCGCGGCCGCCAGGACCACGGTTCGTGTGTGCAAGGACCAAGGGACAGCAGAGCTTCAGGATATGCCTGACGAGGAATGGCAGGCAGGCCACGTGTGTGGCCTCGGCCAGTAAGTCGATGTCTCTGGTAAAACCCAGGAGCTTGGCTCCTGTCCCGCGCAAGCTGCAGGGGGGCCAGGCCGGGAGGGTGGGGTGGCCTCACACCCAGCCAAGGGGCCCCATAAACACGACAGTATTATTGTCCTCATTTGCCACCGCCTCTGGGCCAGTCTGCATCTTTCCAGGAGTGGAAGGGGCCTGGGGACAGGGACAGGAGTGACTGAGCTTCCCTCTCACGTGCTGTCCCACCCTGCCCCAGCGGGTCAGCTCCCACCTCCAGGAGAAGCGCCACCCCCGACTTCGGGGCTGCGGCTGAGTAAACAGACCAGGCCTGGCTGGCGTTTGGCCTCAGGTCTCTTCGATCTCCTCAGCTGGGACTGTGGAGGATGGTTTCTCAGATTACTGAAGGTTTAACTCTGAGGGATCCCTGGTAAGAACCCAGAGGCCAGGATTCCATCACTTCCCCCGCCCGTGGACCAGACAGCGTGTGCCAAGGAACCTGGTAAGCACCTACCTGGCACCTGCTGCTCATGCAGCATCGAGCACCACAGGCATGAGGGAAGGAAAACAGAATATAATCCCTGTCTTGAAGGAACCTGCAAACTCCAACGGGGATGATGGGGCACTTACAACCACCGGAAGGCTGTTCTGTGACCGACTCGGTCAAGCAAGGCACTGCGGGCGGTGCAGAGGAGAGGGGAGAGGAGCCTGATGCCCGCAGCCCATAACTAGTGGCGCATTGCTTTGTCCCCACCTGTTTCATCCTCTGTACCTCCAGGGTGTTGTGAGGATTGAGAGAGGTAATAACAGACAAAGCAGTCCTTTGAAGGAAGGAGAGGTGCTCCATGAATGTGTGGCTTTATCACACAGAACGGAAGTAAACTGTAAAGCCACAGCTTTGTAGCTAATGGTTGTGTAAAGCACCCATCCGTGTCTGCCATATAATAGGTGCTCAATAACTGCCTCCCCCCTTCCCTTCCCGTACTGTCTCCCCTCGCCCCGCCCCGCCCCCACATACACACACAAGCAATTTGGGGGCAGGCCACCCCTTCAGTGTTTGCTTTGCGATGACCCGGAGAGACTTCTGATTGAACTTATCCAGGGATCACCTGCTCAGACCCTCACTGGGGGGTGGAAGGGAATCAGAAGGAGGCCAGCCTGCGCACCATTGTTCCTATGTCAGCAGTCAAGGGCACCAACCAATGGTTTATTTGAAGGTGGCTCAGTGGGGGCCACTCGAGGGCAGCAGGCCGATGATTTGGCCCCAAGGTCACTGACCCCAAAGCACTGGGCCTGGGGACCAAGCTCCCCTAGCACTGGGCCTGGGGACCTAGCACCCCATGGGTGTCGGCGGCAGCCCTGGCTCAGGAAGGCAGCCTGGGTGCAGGCAGGTGTGGCAGTGAGGAAGCTCTGGGGAGGGCCCCACACCCTGAACAACAGAACTGACAGGTACAAAGCTGAACAAAGGGAGAATGCTGTCCCCAGGGGGCCAGCAGCCAGCACTGCGGGGGGGCGGGGCTTTACCTGCGGTGGGCAGAGCGGCTGCCAGGTGTCAGGCCGCAGGAAGGGACCCTCATCCTGGCCCAGAGCTCTAAGAGACAGCCCTATGCCCGACCCCCAGTTCCTCCAGGGAGGATTCATTTCTGTTTTCCTACCTGTTTCACAATCAGTCTCCTGGGCCAGCCCCAAGCCCCAAGCCCCAAGGGGAGAATGGAGAAGGCACCAGCCAGGCTCCGACATCAGGTGGTGTAGAGGCAAGGCAGGGAGCTCAGTAGCAGAGGAGTTCAGCAGCTCCCAGGCTGGTAAGGTAGGCAGCACCCAGCTGCTCATTCGTTCAATAAAAAAGTAAAATAAACAAAAAAGTTATTTCTTAGCAGAGTGTCTCTGGAGAAGACGGAAACCCAAAGGACCGGGAAATTTGGGATGGCAAACAGCCTAGAAATCCTCATCAAGCCAGCTCTAGGTTTTAAAACAAAAAGGATTCCCAGCTTTTGTAAACCCCCCCCACCCTCACCCCACCACACACCCCTCTAGGTCCCAGTAAACATCCACACTTGTAGCTGGAGAAAGAAAACAGTTGAGTACGAAGTAGCAATGGTTTAGTACTTGAAGTTACCCGAAGTTACTCGTGCCCATACTGCCAGGGTGGAATAAAAAGGAGGCTGCGCTTTGCATCTTTGCAAATGTGTGGCGCTCATCCATCAGCTGGTGTGTGGCCGCGTGTAAAGGCCTTCCCAGAGCAGAGCTGCCTCACAGCTCTGGGCACCTAGTGGTCCCTTAGGGGTCCTCTCGGGGTCTGCAGGAGGGCAGCCGCCCTGTGGGTTGTGTTGACACTGTGATAAAGAACATCTGTCCTGTGAAAAAACTCGAAGAGCCGTTACATTGTAAAGAGGGAGCATTTCGCAAACAGTGAGAAATGGGTGAAATGTGGAAACGTGTCTTTGCCATACAGCTTAATAAATGGATGAGGAGTTTTTTGCAGAGCTTTTTCATTTGTTGTAACTCTGGAAACCCTGAGTTTTGTGAGGACACTGCAATAGGCAGTCAGGAGCCTTGGTAGGGGGTGGGGGGGTGGTCATTATTTCCAGTCTACCTATCTTGGGGCTTCTGTCCTGCAGAAGAACAGTGGTGCCCAAGCTCCTATGATTGTGTATCCTTATAAGTAAAGAATTTTGATCATTTATACCCAATATGTAAACTTCCTAATATGTATTAAGATGTAGACTCTAAAATACACTGAAGTAGAAATGTAAGCAAATTTAATAGAGTTTGATACCTTCCCCTTCCTACATCCCCGCAGGAGTAACCCATCACCAAGCTCCCGTCAGGTGCCAGTGGGGCCCCATGAAGACCTAGAATCATAGGGTTGGCAGCGATTCAATCACTCATGCATGCAATGTATTTATTGAGTACTTTGCGTTTGATCTCCCCTTCAAATCAGGAGTGTCTTCTACAATGTCTAGATTAAACAGTTGTCTATCCACTACTTGCATAATCTCAGCGATGGGGAACTCATTATCCACTTCATTTTGGGGGACCTCTCCATTATTCATGTATTCATTCATTCCCTCATCCATTAAAGAAAATTTGTATTCTGTGTCAATAAAAAGGGCCCTGCTCCATCTACACCTCCGTCCAGATGCCCGTGCCAGAAACCAGGCTCACCGGTAAATGTACCCTCTCCCTCATTCCTTCTGCCTAAAGGATCAGCACCTCTTTTTAGATTCCACCTAAGTGTTTCCTGGACCTATCTACTTCTTTCCGTGTCTAACCGCCATCTCGTCACTCTCGCCATCTCTGATTCTGATCCCCACCATCTGCTAATTCTGATTCTTCGCTCTGCAGCCAGTGACATGTGTTGATGCAAATATGATTGTAGAGGGGCTATAAACCCACAGCCAAAGCTTTGAAATCAGGTAGACCTGGATTCTAGTTCTTGTTCTGGTCAGGACTCTTTTTGTTATATGATTTTTATTTTAAATATTTTATATGTTTATTCATGAGAGACACAGAGAGAGGCAGAGACACAGGCAGAGGGAGAAGCAGGCTCCCCATAGGGAGCCCGATACAGGACTCGATCCCAGGACTCCGGGATCACACCCTGAGCCAAAGGCAGGTGCTCAACCACTGAGCCACCCAGGAGTCCCTATTACATGATCTTGAACATCTCACCTATCCTTTCTGAGTCTCATCTGGGGAAGTGGAGATAATGATGGCATCCACCTTGTAGACCTGTTAACAGGATTCACTTAGAAAGTGTTTAGCACAGTGCTCTGGACACATGTGAGCCTCCATGATGATAATGATGACCGTGAGAGAGATTGGTATGGGGGGGGGGGGCTGATGAAACACAGTCTCTAATGAGAAATCCTGCAATAGTGTCCCACCACTCTTGGGATAAGTTCCATATCCATAATGTGGTCTGCAAGACCCATCACGAGCTGGCTCTGCCTTGTTTCTTTCCCCCTCTCTACCTCCTGGCTCATTCTTTACCCTCTGATCCTAGTGTCCACAGCTGGACAGAGTCCGGCACATTTTCCAGTCCCTCCAGTGCCTACCCTTCCCACTGAGCCTGCACCCCTCCCCAGCAGCTCTCAGCTTGGGGAAAGTGGCCCACAGTTGCCTGAGGGAGCTCACTCACTCAAGGGACTTTGTTCCCAGATAGGAGCCTGACTCAAGGAAGTCTGCACACCAGAGGAAGCCAACTGGCTGGAACGGGAGAAGGCCTCTTGGCAGGTGGAAACAGGCTAGCAGAGCCTCTCTTCCACCTCCCCCCACCCAGCCAGGCAACCTGAGCGGCCTCTCCCCTCCCAACTCTCCGTGGCCCCAACAAGCTGGCATGATGGGGAGAAGTCCAGGGTGGGCTGCTCACCCCCTGAGTCCGCCCCAGGGCCGAGTGGGTGAGGACCTGGTGCAGAGGTGCAAAGTGATTGCCAGTGAGCCGGTGGGACCGAGCGCTAGTGATGGTGGCTACCATGGATTTAGGAAGCCGCTAATGCAGTCTTCGTGATTTGGAAGGTGAAGCCTGGATTTGCAGCCCCAAGGACTGTGCTCCGCTGTCTCCTTGTCACTCAGCTCCTGAGCCCATTAGAGAGCCTCACCTAGTTCTGACCTCTCGCCAGGCCCTGGGGGAGATGGGGGTCAAGGCTGAGCAAGGAGGTCATCGTGGGGCAATGGCACTAGCTGGAGCCTGATGGTCTGTTGTTTGGTTTTTGGCTGAGGTCGGATGGCCCCATGATAACATGTCCCACTCTCTGCTGACCCCGATTCAGACTGAATCCTCAGGACCACTCAGGGAGGCAGGTGCTTGTGTTGTCACCAGCCTCTGATGTGGAACTGAGACCCAGAGAGGGAAGGCCACACAGTTCCTCAGGAGGGGGTTCTGGAAGCCCACCAGGCCTCGGCATGCTCGGGCCTTAACAGGGGTTAGGAATCTTGTCCCTGGGAAAGCCCTCAAGGTGCCTCCCTGGGTGAAGAGCTTCTGAGCCAGCGCTGGGGCCGTGTCTGCCCTCGTAAACAGACTTTGCATCTTATCGGCCTCGTGAGTCCTTGTCTCCTGCAGAACCGCCTCCCCGGGGGCTGGTGGCTGACGCCTCACCCCGAGATATTCTCCACAGCAGCTTTACTGAGGTAGGATTCACATGCCAGACAACTCACCCATTCCAGTGGCTTTTACTACATTCCCAGCATTGTGCGATGGCCAAGGGTTCTCTGATTCCAGAACACACTCATCACTGCAAAGTGAAATCCCCCATCTCACCCTCCCCGCAGCCTTGGGAGCCACTAACCTTTCTGTCTCCAGACTTGCATCTTCTGGACACTTCATATGGATGGAATCCTATACCGTGTGCCTCTTGTGGCTGCTCCTTTCATGAGGCTTACGCTGAGATATAATATTTCATAGTAGGGGAAGGACTCTGGAGGCCAAGGCTGAGTCCCTCTCATGCCACTTGCTCACTGTGTGATCTCAGCAAACCACTCTACTCATTCCCAGCCTCCCCCATGGCCTTTGGCCTCCATTTCCTCATCTGTAAAATGAGCAGATAACACAAGAAGAATGCCTATCTCACCCAGAGCTAATGACTCTGATAAGGGGGCTCCGTAAACCATAAAGGGCCTCATAACATGACAGGGACTGCCCTGGGCTTGGAGCCAGGATCCTGGTTCACATCCCAGCTCTGCCACTCTGGGCTGTGGGAATTTGGACGAAGCCAGTTAAGTTCTCCGAGTTTCTGTTTTCTCGCCTATAAAATGAGGATCCAGGTGCTGTGAGGAGCAAGACAGATCAAAGTGTTCTCGTGGGCTAAATAAGTTCCCTCCCCCCCGCCAAACTCCTATCCACATGGGACCTCAGAACATGATCTTTCCTGGGACTAGGTGTTCACAGAAGTCATTACGTTAGGATAACGTTCACACTGGATTACGGTGGGCCGTGTCCAATGAGTGGGGTCCTCCTAAGAAGAGGAGAGACGCACAGAGACACAGAGGCCACAAGGGGATGAAGACAGAGTTTGGAGTGATGCTTCCACAAGCCAGGGAACACCAATTCCCTGGGACCGCCAGGAGCCAGGAAAGAGGCACAGAAGAGACTCTCCCTCAGACCCACCAGGAGGACCCAACCCTGCTGATACCGCGGCCTCAGACTTCTGGCCTCCTGTACGGAAAGAATAAATTTCCATGATTTTAAGTTACCCTGTCTGTGGTGCTCTGCTGCGGCAGCCCAAGTTGATGGATGTTTTAAGAGTTATGAGGGTGGGGATCCCTGGGTGGCTCAGCGGTTTAGCAACTGCCTTCGGCCCAGGGCGTGGTCCTGGAGTCCTGGGATCAAGTCCTGCATCAGGCTCCCTGCGTGGAGCCTGCTTCTCCCTCTACCTGTCTCTCTCTCCCTCTTTCTCTCTCTCTCTCTCTCTCTCTCTGCGTGTCTCATGAATAAATAATTTTTTTAATTAAAAAATAAAAAGAGTTCTGAGGGTGTGCTCCCTCACCCTTGCCCATCATGGTCCACACAGACCCCCGTCCCCAGCAATGCAGGAGTCAACCACATGCTTTCTTCAGGTCTCCTGAGGCCTGGCGATGCTAGTTTGTGACAGAAGTTTCCTAAAGAGGGCAGCCCTAGGGATCCCTGGGTGGCGCAGCAGTTTGGTGCCTGCCTTTGGCCCAGGGCGCGATCCTGGAGACCCGGGATCGAATCCCACGTCGGGCTCCCAGTGCATGGAGCCTGCTTCTCCCTCTGCCTGTGTCTCTGCCTCTCTCTCTTTCTCTGTGTGACTATCATAAATAAATAAAAATTAAAAAAAAAAAAAAGAGGGCAGCCCTGGTGGCCCAGTGGTTTAGCTCCACCTTTAGCCCAGGGTGTGATCCTGGAGACCCGGGATCCAGTCCCACGTCGGGCTCCCTGCATGGAGACTGCTTCCCCCTCTGCCTGTGTCTCTGCCTCTCTGTCTATCTCTGTCCCTCATGAATAAATAAATTTTAAAAAATCTAAAAAGAAAGAAAAAGAAAGAGAAAGAAGAAAGAAAGAAAGAAAGAAAGAAAGAAAGAAAGAAAGAAAGAAAAGAAAGAAAAGAAAGAAAGAAAGAAAGAAAGAAAGAAAGAAAGAAAGAAAGAAGAGCAGGATGTACCATCGTACAGAAGTTTAGAGAATTTTTCAAAAGGAGGATCCTGAAGCTTTTCCCAAGATCCCAAGATGTCAAGGGCCAACCCAGACCCCCAGAGGGTGTGCACCACAGATCTGCTGGTGCTGGGCTTAAACACCCCAGTCCTCAGTCTCCTGACCCAGAACCAGGACTGCTCTGTTCTCCTCTTCCTTCCCTGGGGCCCAAAAGCAGGCTGATTCGGGGCATCTCAGGCCAGGCAAAGGAGAGGCCCCAGGTCCTGGCTCCCGGCTTCCGGGCAGCCGGGCCACCAAGCCCACACTGGTGAGAGGTTGTTTTTGGACAATCCCACAAGATGACCCATGACAGGGCTCCGCGGCTCCTCTG